GTCCAGAGCACCTTGTCCCAGTCTTGGGACCTCTGGCTGTGCACACCCTGAATGGTGAGAATGGGGTCACCACAGCAGGAGAACTACATTTTTCTCCATGCAGCAGCCTTATCTCCCACGCACCACTCGGGAGCTCCTATGGAGGCAGGAGCACACCTGCCCTTTACCCTGGGTTGCTGTGCCCATCCATGGTCGTGCATGCTGGTGATCACAAAGTCCCTCTTGCCTGCAGGCACTGGAGGTGCTGACCTCCTCGGTGGAGTACGGCTTGCAGGACCTGTGCAAGGTACGGTACTGTATAGGCTGGGGACAGTGGTTCCTGAGTGTTCCTGGGATGGGCAGCACCCCAAGGTGGTCCCTGCATGGCTGGTAGCTGGATGTGCCTCTGAGGAAAGCACCGTGGTGCATCATGCAGGCTTGGCCCTGCTTCTCAATCCTGGAAGGTCTCGCCAGTGGGATCCCCCCTGGGGGGTGCAGCAGCAGGGAATCCCACAGGGGAATCCTGAGAAATCATGGGGGAGGACATGGAGTTTCACATCTCCTGCACAGCAAAGGTCAGAAGGAAAGCCCCTGTGCCTTCGCCCACACGTGCTCTCTGGTCATCTGACAGGATGATGCAGTTAAAGAGAGCCCTGATCCTTGGAGCAGTCAGCACCCCAGCTGTGTTGCTGGTGCTGCCAAGGCAATGCTGCTTTGGGTGGGAAGGTTTTGTGAAGGCAGCAGGGAGCAAAGAGGAAGGGTGGGAGTTGAACGAGGAGGGGCCAGGGAACTGAAGCAGCTCAGTGTTGGGGAGGGTTGCCAGGCCACGTCATCAGCTTGATTCCTGAATTACAGCCTGGCTGAACGCGTGACCCGAGATCTCACACCCAGACTTCCCCTCCCTCCCCATCACACCGGGGAAGTACCTCGGGAGCTGAGGAATTGTGGGCTGCCAGGGTGGTGGGATGGGACCTCTGTGAACAAGCTCAGCCAAAGCCCAGATGTGGCAGAGCTGTCAAACAGATGTCTGGGCAGGGAAGGGATATAAGGGGTGCAGCAGAAAAGGGAGACCTGGTGCTCCTATCATGGGTCACACCCCACCACCTCAGGGTGGTGCAAATGCATGCTGAGGGGGATTACCTGCATAGAGGAGGGGTGGGAAGGAAAGGGGCTGACCAAGAACAGCTGGTGAAACCATGTCAGTGTGCCCAGCTGCAGGGTGACCTCATATCCCTCCTGTTAATGACTCAGGGCCCTTCTACCCTTCTGCCCCATCTGATAGCTCCTCTCTGCATGTCACATCCCCTTGGGGACTCTGCTAGGCAGCTGAGATAGGGAGAAGAGAGGTCACACTCACTGATAAACATGCTGGTCTGGCTGCATCCCACCTGCATCATCCATGGATGGGATGCAGCTGGAGATGCCAGTCCCCTAGCAGTCACAGCCGGAGCATGGCTGGTGGGTAAGGCTGGGGCAAAGCTGAGGTCACCCAGTGCACTGCAGCTGGCACCAGGATTGTGCCCTATGGCAGAATGTGGGTGGCACATGTAGACAGGATGAAGGTACCCACCTGGGGCTATCAGATTGGCTGGGTTTGGTCACATCAGTCTTGGGCCCTGGCTCCATCAGTGGCCAAGCTGGCTGCCCACATCCACACTGCAGGACCTCATCCTACAGCCCATTGCTTATGAAATCCTGGGGGGCTGGAGGTGCTTCTACCCCACATTCCATGTGCTGGGGCCTCAGGGGATGCTGAGAGTTGTGGGGGGGGATGGCAGGTTTGTGTCCCCACCCTCTCCCTGTCTGCCTTCCAGCTCTGTGTCAAGTTCATCAAGGACACACTGAGTGTGGAGCAGGTCTGCGAGGCCTTGCAGGTAAGAGTGACACCAGTAGGGTCACAAAGGGTCAAAAATAACCCAATTTTGGGGCAGGAACAGAACTTGACCATTCTGTTCTCTGCTGGACAGTGGGGCAGGATTTCCCACTCACCCCTGGCCCAGCTGCTGCTCTGCCAGCTCCCAGACCACTGGGATTGTACCAGGGCTGCAAGGGATAGTGTGGCCTCCAGAGCATGGCAGAGAAGTGTCTTCACACTGCCCTGAGCTGGGCTAGCCAGAACCAGTGCCAGGACTTTGTCATCATCTGTATGATAGCAGACTGGAACACTGGGTTTTGGGGAGCCAGTCCCAAAACCCTTGCTGAGAGCTGAGGCACCTAAAAATAGCCTTGGGAAGGTCCTAATGGCCCTGGCTATGCTACTTGGTGGGTCCAAGGCTGCTCCCCAGAGAAGGGGGATTTGTTTCATCTCGCACAAGCTGAAATAATCTTGGGGTGAAGTGCCTGCCCCAGAACACAGAGCCCCAGCCAGATGTGATGCCAGACCACTGCGACATAAACAAAGCTAAAAGTGGCCCAGAGGAAACAAAACAAGAAACCCCAAAACCCCAGAACAAACTAAACCTGAAGAAAACAGCTTGTCTGCCTTCCTCACTTACGTCAGGACTGGTCCCTTGCAGTGGTGGAGGGGGAGGTGGTGTTCACCCTGCCTTTGCTGGTCTTGAGTACCCCACACACAGGGGCTGCTGTGGGGGGATGGGGTCATGCCCTCCTGGTAACCAGATGGACAGGGCCAACCCTGGGACAAGCATTGCTCAGTAGGGTTGGGAGAAAATGAGACCAACCCCAAATTCCTGCTGTAGTGGGGGTTGGCAGCTATGGGTCAGGCTGGGGCTGGCACCAGGGGTATGGGGTGCCTGTGGGGGACTTTGAGCTGATCCTGTGCTCACACAAGGAGCACTGGGGACTGGTGGTTTCATGTGCCTGCAGTGTGACCTTTTGAGAACAGCACTAGGGCCTCTCCCCCACTGTGGGCTCAGTGACCTGTCTGAGCAGAGGTGGAAAATCACATGTCCTGCTAAGGGTGGGGCTGGGTGACCATTGTGAGCATTAGAGCCACCAAAACATTTGCTGTTGGGCAGGCCAGAAAAGGAGGGGACCTTGGTGCCCCTTCCTTCCCGCACTTTCACCATGGTACCCAGCCCAGAGGGATATCTACCTCACCTATGTCCCTGAGAGTGCCCGTGTTTCTGTAAGGCTTTGGCAGGGAGTCCCTCCTGCCCTGGACCCCTTGCAGGTGTCTGTTTTGTCTCACAGGCTGCTGTGACCTATGGGCAGGTGGACCTCCAGCAGCACTGCCTGGCCTTCATCGAGGGCAGCACCGCGGTACGGTGGCAGGTGATGGGGGAGCATGATGCCAGGGTAGGGGGAGGCATGTGGCATGGAGAACATTGCATGAGGCAGGGGAGCAGGGCCCCTAAGGACAGGATGTCTGGAGGCTGGGAGAGGAGCAAGTGGTATTTGGAGAAAAGATGCTGGATGACTGGGAGAGGCAGGCTGGGGCATAGTGGAGTGCTAGGGGATTGAGTTTGGATTGGGGGATGCTGGAGTGCCAGGCACCAGGATGTGTCTGATGGATGGGGTGGTGGTTGTGTGGGGTCCTGGTTCCAGCACGCTGTGGTGTGCTGGCAGGCAGTGGTGCGGACACAGGGCTTCCGTGAGCTCTCTGACGTGGTGCTGGCACGGGTGCTGCGCAGTGACCGCCTGGCCGTGGACGAGCTGGACCTGGTGCAGGCTGTGCGGGAGTGGGCACACGTCAGCTCAGTGAGTGTCACACAGCAACCGCCACCCAGGGGTGCCTGGGCCCCCACCAGCCCCGGCTGGGAATGTCAGCACCCCATCCCTGAGGCCGGGGCTCTGTGATGGGAGTGTCACTCCCCCCAGGCCCCTGCCTTCCCTGGTGCCCAGGACATCACCAGCCTCATCCCTCACATCCTGCTGTCTGACAGGCTGTCCTAGAGCGTCCGGTGCCAGAGGTGGCTGCCCTGCCCGTGAGGGAGCTACGTCTGCCCTTGCTGGCACCCAGCGAACTGGTGACACTGGAGAGCTACAACCAGCAGGACCTCCTCATCCCGGTGAGCTGCTTCCTGTTCTTAGTGTCTCCTGACTGACCTCCAGGGCTGGAGGATGCTACAGAGGATGGGCAGAGGACGACCATGCTGTGGCAGTACTGATGCCCCCATCCCTCTCCCTGTCCCCACAGGTGGAGAACATCGCGGCAGCCTGGCGTGCCCACGCACTGAGGAAGGGCAGTGGGGTGCCCTCCCGCCTCTGCCGTCCCCGCCGGGGCACGCGGCCCCGCGACCATCACCGTCACCTCGAGCCACACGCCAAGTAGGGGCTGGGCAACGAGCTTTGTCCAGCCCAGCTGGGGACTCTGCAGCAGGGCAGGGTGTGGGGCTGGGCACTGATGCTGCCGTGGCCAAGAGCATCCATAAGGTGCTTTGTCCCGTGTCACAGCGTCGGGACCAGGCAGGATGCCTGGATCACCCCCAAAAGTGATGCAGGGGGCTGGTGGTAGGGTAGAGATGGGCTATGCGATGGGTGGAAGGACACTGCAGGTTGCCCAGGCAGTGAACCAAGGGTGGTGGGGCTGCAGAGATCACTGTGGGATGGGGACCCAAGATGAGCTCCCACTTCCCCGGGGCCGTGCTGCCCTCCCCCGGCAGTGGGGCCGTGCTGCAGCGGGAGAGAGCATCAGCACCTGCCCGGGCAGGGGCACGGGGACAGGCTCCCACCCCCCCCCCAAGCCCCGCCAAGCCCTGCCAACAGGCCACACACATGCAGGACAGGCTCCCAGCCCCCCATGTGCCACACACACAGTGTGCGGCCCCCCCTTAGACCCAGCTGTGTGTACAACACTGTCTGTCTCAAGCACATGTACCTCCCCTTCCAGCTGTGTTCCCCAGGAGAAAGAGCCGGACACAGCAGGTAATTTATATATAATATATATATTTACTCTTTAAAAATAAACCTTCGGTCCCCACTACCGCCTGTACAAACTACAAAAATAAACCTTTGCTCTCTTTGATATAAATAACTTAGATGGCGTGTTGGGGGGGAGGGGGGCTGCCCGCCGTGCCCACGCCTGGCACGGGGACAGGGTCCCCAAGGCCACCCCTGCTCAGCGGCAGTGTCAGGGGGCCGGGGGGCCTGGGGCCGCAGGCACGGCAAACACCGCTGGAGTTAAAGTGCTGGGTAACGGCGCGGACAGTGCCCGGGATGGGGACGGGGACAGGGGCTGGCTGCAGGGACAGCCCCGTTGCATGGGGACATGGTAAAAAATACGGTTTCCCAGCAAGATGTGCCTGGTGGCACCATGGGAGCCCACATCAGCGTGCGCTGTCCTGTGCGTGCTCAAGCCTGTGCCATCCCCAGGGGCAGAGCACAAGTGTGACAGGTGGCTGTGATCGTGGGACAGCTCAGGGGCTTGGAACAGCAAGGACCACTCCAAGGATCTCCCCCTTCCAAAACCCTGCCTGTGCGCTGGGGAGCAACAGGCTCCCTTTCTCCACCATAGGAAATCCATGATCTCCAGCCTTCCCATCCTTGTCACTGGGGAAACTGAGGCACAGACTAGCATGTTGGAAGGGGTGAGCTGCCCATGGAGTGGGGGCATGAACCAGGTCTGTGCCCCCAGGCTCCTGCTGCCTCCAGTGGGCAGCCCTGCACTGGGCAAAGTGTCTGCCTGCGCCCTGGGCAGCCGGGCGAGGCTGTAGGCTGAGAAATAAATCTTTTAAAATAAGCTTAAAAATATATATCTCTCTATAGATAGTTTCCCTTTGCAATAAATAAAGGTGGGGGTGCCCACCCTAGGCCTTGCCCATGGCACACCAGGGCATAGCTGGCTCTGGGGCTGCCCCCTTATCAGGACAGGGGGCATCAGGGCACCCTGTTGGGGTACCCCAGCTCATGGCCTGGGATGGGTGATCCCAGGAGGAGGTGATGGGGAGCAGGCAGTGACCCCACAGAGGGGGAGCTGGCATGGCACTGAGTCCACCTTGCCAGCAGCTCCAGAAACAGAGGGGGGAGTTAGTGCTTCCATTTCTGGGGGGCAACAAGCCCAGGGCAGGATAACCCCAAGCCCTGGGTGATGGGACACGGCACCAGCGGTACCGCCTCAGGTGAGGGACACGTGGGCACGGCATGGCCTGCACACAGCTTGCATAGAAGTGCCAGCCTGCCCTACCAAGCCCCGGTGCAGGGGGTCCGGTCCTCCTCGGCCAAGACCGCTCCAACAATTAGCAGCATGGCACAAGTGACCCCACTCTGCACCCTCCTGTGCCCACTGGGTGCTGGGGAGATGCTCTGCCCAGGAACCAGCAACCTGCAGGGAGAGAGATTTGGGAGGTCAGTTGGGTCCCTCCACACCCACCTCACACCCCCATGCTGCCATGCACCAGCTCTAGGTAGGGTGTCCCCCCAAGCTCACCTAGCGCCGGGCACCTGTCCCGTGGTGTCCCATGTTCTGCATCTCAAAGGTGTTGGGCACAGTGGTGCCGCTGGTGCTCGGCTCATCCAGGCAGTCCCGCTCGCTGCTGGTGAAGTTGGGGTAGGAGCCAGGCAGTGTGGGGTGCAGGGCCACAGTCACTGAGGCAGTGGCCGTGACGGTGGTGTAGCTGCCGGCGGGACCCTGCAGGTGGGTGCTGTAGGTGGGCAGGGCTGCAGGGGGGGCTGGCCGGGTGCCCGGTGGGCCGGACTGCAGGTGCTCTCGGGGCAGCATGGTGCACGGCTCCCCGAAGGGCAGGGGGGCGGCATGCTGAGGGCCAGAAGCCTCTTTCTTTCCCTGAACCTCCAGGCTGTCCTTGTAGGGCTTCAGGACCTGGAGGGGGAACACAAAGCATGAGGGCCTCCAGTCATATTGAGCATCCCTCTGGCAATAGCACCGGTCCCCATCCCCCAGTTCTATCCGTGAGCCTCTCCCTGGGGATGCAGGGGGGTCAGCAGCGCCACAAAGGGCAGAGACACTCACAGTGATGCGGGGGAAGCTGGGGTCCTTGCCAGCCTCCAGTAGGATGTGTGCCGGGGCAGGGGGCACAATGAAGGGTCCCCGTGGGCTGCCTGGCCCTATGCTCTCTGTGTAGTGCTCCGTGTCAGAGGGCTCAGGGAAGGTGGCAGGCCAGGCTGGAGTGTGCCGGACATACATTCCCCCAGGGCCCAGACACGGGGGTGCTGACTCTGGTGGGGGTAGGCATGGGCCATTATCCACCTGGGATGCCTGGGGAGAGAAGACAGGTCAGAGGGGCCAGGAACAGAGGAGTATGGAGAAGTAGGGAATATGGGTTGATGCAAGGATGGGGATGTGGGTCATACCAGGTGAAGCAGGGATGGGATCAGATGGGTCAGGGAGGGATAGGGGAGTTGAGTGTGGAATGAAGCAGGAATGAGATCAGGTAGGTATGGGGGAAGTAGGATATGGGTCAGAGAAAGAATGAGGTAAAAGAGGGATGGTACAGGGCAAGGGATGGATTGAGGTGGGTTCGAGATGAGGCTGGGACTGGACAAGGCAAAGATGAATAGAGGGTGAAAGGTGGGCAGGGAGAGGGGGATGGAGAGATGTGGGTACAGGGTTGGGGAGGACGAGGTAGGATGGAGGGGACTTGTACCTCAGGGGGTGGCCCGATGACAGAGAGCAGGACAGGCAGCAGCACCAGCCCGTTGAGCAGCCCCAGCAGCGTCAGGATGGTCAGCACCGCAAAGAAATACCTGAGGGGGGCAGAGGCACATGGGGTAAGCAGGCACAGCCATCATGAACCTGTCCCATCCCAAACATGGCTTCCCATGCCACACCCCCTGGCCCTATTGTCTCCCCAGCCTCCAGACAAGATGGAATGGCAGTCCCCAGTAAGGTGTCCTCACCAGCTGTCCCACATCCCCACTGCCAGACAGGGGAGCTGCCACACCCACCATCCCCCACTGCCAAAGCTCTTGCAGGGCAGCAAGTGGCTAGTTTACCTTTCTTCAGTGCTCACCTCATGATGAAATCAAACTCAGAGCCAGCCAGCATGAGGACACCGAGGAGGGTGGAAACAGCACCATCCATCACAGGGGCAAAAGTGTGCTCCAGTGCTGCGGCTGAGCGCACATTCCTGCTCCCTGCAGCTGTCAGGAAGCCCTGTGTGGGATGGAAATGTCATGTGGGGCTGTCCCCGTGTGCCACCCATGATGGGCCACCCAATGGCACATGGCCAAGGGAATGAGGGTGCCAGAGAGTGGGAACTGGGATCAGCCTGTGCTTACCAGGGCCACGTGGACAGTAAACTCCACACCGATGCCCACCGAGGCAATGAGGATAACCACAGGGATGGCGCTCAGCTTGATGCCCATCAGTCCCATGATGCCAAACAATTCCACAGCCATCATGGCCAGGATGGAGACCTGGAAGGTGGTGGGGTCAGTGAGGGATGGCTTTGGCTGGCTGTCCCCTCTCCCTGGCAAGCCTGATCCTACTCCACATAGGGCAGCCTCATATCACCGGCCCTTTTCACTCTATTTGGGGTGTCCCTCTGTCCCACCTTCTGGGGGCAGCCCTCACCCAGCTCTGCATGGATGTCACCAAACCCCTGGCCACTACACACACTCCCTTCATAATGGGTTCCCAAATCTCTCCATGTGGGTCCCCCACCAACTGTGACCTCCATATGCGTGTTCCAATCACACTCTGCACGGATGTATCCAGGACCCCCTGTTCTCTTCATCAATGACATAACTGATGCCTCCATATAGGAGTCCCCCCACCCACTGCCACCCTCATATGGGCATCCCTTCCCCCCAGGGTGTCCCTGGCCATTCCATCACCCAATTCCCATGAAGCAGGTACCCAGGGCCACTCATCATGATGGGAGAAAAGCTGGGTGCCCCTGACCCCACCCATCAGGACCATCCCCATGCATCAGGGTGCGTACTCACGATGATGCCGGCGGTCCAGGGGTTGAGCAGCAGCAAGGCACAGACGAGGAAGGTGCAGGCCAGCAGGATGCTGATGGCCAGCAGGAACCAGTGCCGCAGGCCGATGTACTGCTCCCAGAAGAGGAAGGGGTAGCCACTGGGGTAGCTCAGCACACCGTGGCGCTGGGCAGCCTCCCGGCAGATGGCCCGTACGCTCTCAATCGCCTCCACAAAGTCAGATGTGCGACGCAGCCCGCTCAGGTAGAAAGGGAACTGGGCGAACTCCAGCGGCTGGGCTGCTGGGACTGGTGAGGAGATCACGGGCAGTGTGAGGGTATGGGCAGTACGGGTGTACAGGCAGCACGAGAGCACCACAGTCACAGCAGCCTGAGTGCAGCCTGGGCAACCCCCGACTGGTACCACAGGTCTGGGGAGTGTGTAGGGAACAGACTGGGGTCAAGGAGGAGGGCAGGGCATTTCTCTGCCTGTAGGATTTTTGTGCATTAGTGGGTTACTCTTTGCAGTGAGATGCTCAAGGGCTGGAGCAGGTGCGTGCTGCTAATGGCAATGCACAGTGAGATGCTCAGGGTGTGGGGTGCAGGAGGATGAGGGTTAAACATGGGGAAGCCAAGGCAGTTTACCAGATGGGGTAAGGGATGTGGGGGGTTTCCCTTCAGGGGAAAAAAGGCCCTGAAGAGTGGGATACTCTGCAGGAGGATGCTGGGGGTAGGGGGGGCCCTGGCAAGTCCACCATGCTCACTCACTTCGCAGGTTCTCGCCCGTGGTGTCGTACTTGTCATGAATCCACTCAGGGGGTGGGGGGTAGAAGTTGGCCTGGGAGGCAGCAAAGCCCAGGGGGTCGTTGCTGGCCCACACAGTCAGGCAGATGTAGAAGGTGTCGGGGGGGATGATGCCATTCTCGTCCACCAGTCGCCGTGTGGTCAGCTACAGGACAGACCAGGAATGGGCATGAGCTGGGCAGCTGGGGCAGAGAC